TATATATATATATATATATATATATATAGGATTTTAATTCTACTCAATCTCATTTCCAGTGACTGTATAATTCGATCTATTCAAGAATTCTGTAATAAAAAGTTCCAATCAATATTATGGCAGATTTCATAACAGATCATTCAACAAAAATAATTATTATTACTGTAATGGTCGCCGACGGAACCACTTATCAGATCACCTAGATAAAAGAATGTCAGCTCGAGTGTATAGTGTCAATACGTTTTCGCAAGCGCTGGCTTTTCCTTCGCACTTCCGCATTCTGAACGCGTTTTGGTGGTGCTTTGTTTGGTTGAGTAGAATTTTGGTGCGTTACACGACGCCTTTTGATTTGCTTGGTGCATTCATTAGGGGATTTAAGAATAATATCTTTTTTTGGGGTAATCTTCGCAATATTTGGTGATGAGGATGAACATGCTGCTGATACAGTTTCGTTGCGTTGATTATCCAATTTTTGCCGCTTTCGATTTCTCGGTGATTCTGCATTCGAGGCGCTATTATCGCTACCGATTGAATGTGATTCACTGATAGCGTTCACTTCATCATTCGCTGCCTTTTTCTCTGTTTCATTCGACTTTCTTCGTCTATTTGGTGAATTAACATTTTTCTTCCTTTTTCGATTAGGCTTAGGAGCTGAGTGTTGATTAGCTTTATCAATATTAGAATTACTGGCATTGCCATCGTTATTCTTGTTATCGTTGGGACCGTTATTAATATTACTGTCATTGCTGTCCTTCTCGTCGTCATCACTGCTATTCCTGCTAGCATCATCATTATTATTAGAACTAGTGGTCTTCTTACTACGAGTACCAAGATCAGGATTATCACTATTCTTTTCCACATCTTTTATTTCCACTGATTCAGTATTCATCTGATTTTCCATCGGTTTCTCATCAGTATGCTTCGCCGGATGCTCTCCGTCATTCAACTGTTCCCATGATCGTTCTTGCATGCATTCTCGCATTTCTTCTTCTTCCTTATTGACTTCGCAGTTCAATGCTCCAGGAAATGTTCGTTTCATATTCTTTTTGCCGTCGACCGCTTTTGGTTTCTTTATTTTATTTTTCATTTCTGATTCTTCGTCTCCAATTCCTTTAACTTCTTCTTCGGACATATTCTGAAAACAACTATCATTATGATTAAGAAGCTCACCTGAAAAACGATTGGTTCCTTCCTTTAGTCATATCCACGAAAGTACTACAAATATTCCTTTATTTATTAAAAACTAAGAAAATCTCATTCGCACGAAAGAATTTACCTTTACTCTGGTGCGGACTCCTTCAATACTTTCATCCAATCTGGCTAAACGTTCCAAATCTTCAGGTTTTTGCTGAAAAGAAATTATCTGACCAATGATAATCGCAAAAATTTTATTAGAGCAATGGCAATGAAAATCATAATAACAATAATAAGAGTGATAATAACTAATAAATTGCGGATGACAAGGAACTCACCTTCATTAATTTGTATTTCGATGCGAGATACTCCGCAACTGTACTCTTCGAATCAATGCCCAACGATTCGTATTCACTCGCGAGCGACTAAAAATAAATTGATTTTTTAAATGAAGTAATTTTTTCATATCAATTTTTTAAATATCGATATAAGCATAATGAGGATAATTCCACATCAATTGATATAAATTAAATTGTCTCACTGAATGCAATGACGACTAAAACCTATCGCCAGATAACATCCTAATTCATTATATATTTGCAGTGTAACGCTTCGACAAAAAAAATTGAACGCAAAAAATTCTAGACAGAAAATGTGTACAATGAAAAAAAGGGACCCAAGATTGGGACTGAACAATTAAAAATTCAAGAAGTTACATTTGGTGACTCCAGCACTACTTCATCATACGTTCGCTGCCCAAAGATTGGTTTTGCCTAAAATAAATTGTGTTAGTGCTGAACAATATAGTTACACATTAGTATACATTAGCTGATGTGTACATAAGTAAGTTTACCCGAATGATCATATGAGAAATATGTGTGGGGACTCACCCAAAGAATGAAGTGAGCTTGAATAATAAACTGAGAATGAACTATCACAAAAATCTTAACAATTCAGAACTAACATTATTCGACAAACACCTTTTGAGGACATCTTTAACGGTCAATTCCTTCATGGGATAAGGACAGCCATCTTCTTCAGTTTGCATCGCTCTCAACAGACTTAATTTGCTGTCAGTCTGATTGTATTCTTTGATTTTTTCTTCTCTCAATCCATTTTGAGTAAGACGCATTTTCCAACTTGTTTCTGATTCCACTGCACGATCCATTAGCATCGGCCAAAATAGTAACGAACGTAGTTTCATCTGAATTCATGACTTTAGCACGTTCAGATCAATACATTCGAATCATTCAGCTAAGTCTGAATTGATGAAACATATTTCAGAGTTGTTTTCGAACAAATAGTGTACTGACTCGGCGAATTTTTCCTAAATTGAACAACGTTCCATAAGAATATTTTCACGCTAATTTTTCAACTTTTGAAAACAGCAGCTTCTAATGTAGCGTGAAACCATGAAAATAAACACAACAGTACTAACAGCTGAAACGAAAATAGTTATACTCGACGGTTAGATATATTGGAACAGATTTTCAGTAAAAGAGAACACTTAGAAATGTTCCTAAAAATGAAAGAAAGCTTACGGAAAGTAACTGATATTCGCCTTCGGTGATTATCGAAGATGAGAGTTGAATGACGGGGACGTCAAGTTGCTGAAGTGAAAGAAAAGTTAAGAATTTGATAAGAGCAAATCAGTTTCGATTACTTAACCACTTCATTTTGTGCACATCATATATTCAAACAATTCGATTTCGAATACTTTTTCACTTCCTGGAAAAGCTTTTCAATTTGTGAATCGCGATAATTCCACAAACTTATGGATCAATAAAGTTCCCTAAATGTACAGCTGAAAAAGTTAAATACCGGTGAAATATTGTTGAAGAGGCGAAGCGCTTCTGATGATAACTTAGACATTCGTTTCTGAAAATAACAGAGATGAAACAATCATACTATACTTTGTTTCACGGAAAGCAGACAAAAGATAAGATTAGGCTTGAAACTGGCTCATGAAATAATCTTTAAAAAACCATAAAAGATGGGCTAATGATTAACTTAAATTTCAGGACATTTTGAAGGATCAGGAAATGGAAATACCTCGAAATTATGACGAGTTAATATTATAAGAACAGTGGCGTTCATAAGTGCTTAGAAAGTGAGCAAAGAATAGAAAAAAAANAAAAAAAACAAATATGAAATGAAGCAATACTTTGATTTCATCCAAAATCGTCATGGTTCCCATACAAGGAGTTAACGGTGTAGGAGTCGTTCCCTCTTCGAGATGATTAAGTACAACTTCGATCAACTGCTGCAGATTTTATCTTTCAAATTAGCCAACTTTAATCTCCGTAGTTACACTTGGAAAAAATTTTTGATATTTGAATTATAAATTGATAGTTCGGTCTTGAATAATTTTACTTTTGGAGGAAGAATAAATCAAGCAATGGAGGAAAATGTCAGTAGTTTCATTAATTTTCGTGTTCATACATTTATTGACAAATGAACTGAACAAATGCAAGAACCTTGTCAAAGTAATCGTACACTTCATAGTGAATGCGTAACCTATCCAATATATCTTGTTTATTTGACTGTCTCTGATCACATCTCGGAATTAAATCCAATAAGGAATCCACAATGAAGGATTTCTTTGCCTACAAGAAGAAGAGGCGAGTGGATTGAGAAGTGAAACATATTTGATTCTTGATTACAAACACATAATCTCCATATCAGCATACACATACCTCCATAAATACCATCATCACAATCCGAAAGATGCCTATAAATGAATAATAACAAACCTGGTCATCCTCTAACTGATCAATCCAACTGTTAAACCTAAACTGCTCCTCTTCATCCAGTAACTGAGCTCGCTTACAACACGATAACAATGATTCATCACCACAATACCGTCTCACTATCGATAATGTTGTTTCGTCAAGCATGCTAAATTGAGGTTTCATTCATTTGATAAACGATTCTTGAACTAAAAGTTCAAAATAATTGGAGGCCGTGAGCACTTAATCAGTTTCATTTCATTTCTAATTCTAAAAAATAAATGATCTTATATTTAGAACCGGCGCGTAATGAGAAAAATTGCGCAATTCTGTTCCAGAAAAAAACCAGTTTATAAAGTGGGTGCAACAGCAACAAAATACCACCAAGTCAATGAAAAAAGAAACAAAAGGCAAACTCAGATGTAATTTGCAACTGATTGAGCAATTTCATTCGATTTTTTATTGAATCAGCACCATCAGTATCACAACCCTTATTTGAGCCAGATTTTGTGGTTGCTACAACCGGCTCATTCAACCCATCTTCCTCATCATCACACACTTCCTAGAATCGAGCACAAATCAATTCGACTGAATATGTGAATTTCTTCAATCAGAATCATTGACTTTTTGAAGTATGTGTTCAATTTTATTTATCGCCGAATGAGATCAAATTTGTCTTTACTTCAGATACAAACAGTTCACCAAATTGAAGCAAGATTAAAGACGTTCAAACCAACTTGTTTAGGCTCTCTGACGATCGATTCTTCTTGGTCACCCCCTCTCCAGAAATTTACGAGTTTCGTGAAATATTTCCCAACCTTAAAACGATCACTTTCAGATAATAATTCTAACAGACGATAATTCCATCAAACTGGGATCGCTATTGCTTTGATAGATGCTTATTGGAAATGAAAGAAAAAGCAACAAATAACTGCATCAATTTATATTTTGACTACCAAAAGTTAGTGTGCTAAGAAAAAGGTGAGCTTACTTCCGATCTTCGCTTTCGTCGTGATAAAATTGCATCGGAACGGAACGACGCCTGCCCGCATGGATCAGTTAATATCTGAAATACATCAAAAAATTTGTGCAGTAATAGGATTTTTGAGCGAAATTGAATGACAAACAAAATGCATTCGAACGGTTCGATATTAGGAAGATAGTTTCCGAAGACATGAAACAAAATACTTTTGGCGAAACCTATAAAACTGTATTATCTTAAAAGCCAAATGCGATAGTCATTTAGATTGTCGAGGGAACGATTCAATAATTCAATGAAATGAAGCAAACCTTTAATTTGCTGTTTATAAGTGATCTAAAACGCATTTTGCAATCATTCGCCGATCGCTGAGGTATCATCACGCAAATTTGGCTCCATTTACCTGATGATATAACCAAATAAATAACTGCACTACAAACAGATGCAAAATAAAACCGTAAAAGTTTCAAACGATTGATAAGAATCCAACGATAAAATTCACCTTTACCAAACTTTTTAATTCCCTCAAGTAACTGCTCATCCTCGTCCAATGTCCAAGGTTTGTCAGAGATTCGGTTATTGAACATATTAACCCACCTGGAAGACATACCGAAACAATAACAGCTAACGACAATTCATTTCAAGATTTTCAGAATATTCAAGAAGAAAAAAATTCAAAACGACAAAACTCAAAATTTTCAATACGAATATTAATTTGACAAAATTCTGATTTCAAATAACCAAAAACTGCACACAACAATAAATTAAATGAACCTTTCTCTGCACTGTGTACGTGACCGACTACCAATCATATTTGCCACACTCGTCCAATCTTGATTACCATAACGACCCACTGCACACAGTAATGCCTATTAACAAGATCGTTCCTCACTTTTTTATGCTACCACTCAACACTCCTTACGAAAACTGAGCAGGAAATACGCGTGAAACAAAAAAAAACAAATCAAAAACTTATTCTCGCGTAAGCGCTAGCAAATTACCACAAGCAATAAATATTCACAAGAGTGACAAGTTTTTATGCGGGAGAAAGGAAACCCTAGGAAATGCAGTTCTTGATCTACAAAAACATGCCTCTTGGTCTAAAAACAATGTATGAAACTTCGCTTAAAAATTGGTTTGAAACGCGGCTGGGTCAAATTTTCTATCACTTTATGCGCATCAACGCAAAAATTTCAACTTCCTCATTTTTTTGGTCCCATCCTCCAAAACCGTATATATTTCTGAATGAAAAAAATTACTCGTAAAGTTCATCGAAAAAACAAATTGAAACGTCGTTCCATTTACTTTTGCCATAGACAAAACGGACATCTGACTCAGTGACCTTCTAGTTTAAATTCCTTGAAGAGAAATTCAGTAGAGATTGTTTTTAGATCGCGCGGCATCATTTGAAGCGATATCTAATATTTCTTGACTCGAAAATCTCGCGATATGAATCCTCAAGTCAAAATAAAGTTCACTCATTTACTTTTTAAATGAATCTTTTCAAAGCCAAAATTTTTACGGCCATTTCTAGGACAAATGGCACGTTCTTCTGAGCTAGAATCTCAGAAATTTCGATGCTCGAGAAAACTTTTCATCCTATTTTTTTCAGGTACAATGCAATAATAATATTTTCGTACACCAAACAACTATAAAATGATTTCCAAAGCATAGTTCAGCTTAATAAAGTTATAAAGTTATATAATAAAGTTATAAGTAAAAGTTTCATGAGCAAACATACCACATCTTCAGCCATATTCCATTTACCATAAGTTCGACCAGGCAATGAAAATTGCTCATAACGATTTCGAATTTCGTACTGAGAGCGATTATCAAAGAACGTTGACACTGAAATAATTTATTTCATATTTTTGATGAATACAAATCGAGGAGAATAAAGAAACCAATCAGTCTAGTCTCAATTTCAAAACGCTATTAACGAATGCAATAAATAATGCAAATATGACTTACCCACAATCCACGGTATGATACTATTCGTTTTGAGCGCTTTTACAAGTATCAACAATTTGTTATCTTCCGCCTTCGACCATGGCCTTAAACGAATACATGTATGATCGGTTAGAATTCATATGACATTAGAAGAACCACAAATAAATAACAACAATACGCATAATAATATCAACGAGGAAGTAATAACTGGAACGAACAGACAGATAAAATGATCACACTAATCAGAATTGCTTTTTTTAGGGATGCGAGGGGGTATCATTCTTCTATTTATTCGTTCGGGAAGGATGAAAAGGAACATGGATACATAAGGATATTAAATGAGATCAAACCTTCATCAAGAGGACAAAAATTTCTAGAAAATAAAAATGAACAAAAGCATAGTCACTCACTTAGAATATAAAAGTGGTACAATTGAAGATTTGTATTTCTGGATACACTGAAAGGGTGTTCGTCTCGTATTCATTTGAGATGCAACAGTATTCCAGTCGATCGAATATTCTTTATTCAGCGATTGTAGAAATTTGAACTCTTTTCTAAGCCACGCGGATTTGCTCCATCTCGGGGATTGCTCATTTACCCATTTCAAACGAATTTGTTTGGCCGTTCGAGTACACAGGAACTGCAATTCTATTTCTATCATTTTCGCTGACTCTCAATTAAATTTTGCTTAAATATTCCATCAACTCATCAATGCTTAATTGAGTAATCATCATCCCTTATCAGTATTCGATGATCAAATACGTTCAGTTTCGGAATTTCCAACGAATCGGAACATTTCGCTTGACTAATCCGATCAAACGTTGAATTGTGCATTGTTAAATTACTATCGCAGCAAGATATATTACTGCAAAAAATATCAACAATGAACGCATTCAGATAAACACGTAAAAATTCAAAACAAAAGAGTAAAAACGAACATCAACATTCGATATTTTTAGCCAGTCCACATCACTGTAATCATTCTTATCGCATGCTAAAATCTCTTCTTTAGGCAACGATCTGAAATTGAGTGAATCGTAACGGAGATGATTACAATGAACATTTCCATCGATCAATTGTTTCCGTTGAAATTTCGAATGTATCGAACGAAATTCAATGAAAAAATTTTAAGAGTGATAATAAGTTGAATAAAAACCAACAAGTGATAATGAATCGAACGATTCAAGTGTTCAACTCGTTTGCGCCATTGCTCTTTCTCGTCGGTGCTCGTCTCCTGACCACTTTTGCGTAGTTTTTCAAGAACACATTCACGTCTGCAGATATTAATTCGGTGCGTTTGAGATCGGTTCATCAATTCAGCATTCAAACAATTCGATACGAATGTTGTAGTTGAGCATTGCAAGTGAGATGATGGGATGGTCATTTCAAAAGAAATGAACCAATTCAAATGTGGATATTCGATGAAATAGTGAAAAATTTTACAATAAGAAACAAACAAACAAACTTGGCCACAAATGATTCAATTTTCTTCTCCATAACTGATTTCAAAACGGCAACATGCAATTTGTTTAGTTCCGTTGGCGTCCCTGCAATGGAAGCACTCTTAAACAACATCTTTTGAAGACCTTACAAACATGGTAATATTTAAAATCAGGTGATCATCAATCATTAAACTCGTGCAGTTCACTGATACATTCAACTGCGAGTCATAAATGAATGGCATTCATAATAAAAACTAACAATAAAGGAAACAGAATGAAATTCAAAAAAAAGATTAAAAAATAATACATTTCTTCTCCTCTCTAACCAATAAATTGTAAACGTTATCAACTGATCTTCGTTTTGCTTCGCTATTCACACTAGGCACCTATATATGAGGAATAATTAATTTTCATCCGATATCGAATTTATTTCAATTCATCTTACTTCATCAGGAAAACTTATTTGTTCGACTGAATAAAGTCTCTAGACAACACTTTGAACGTAAGTTTCTACCACCTTTAAAAAATAATAACAACTGCGGTAATATTGATAATGACATCAATAAAATCCTAAAATGAAAGTAAAACTATCAAAAAAATGAGTTAACTCCTGGATGATAAATGCGGCAGAGCAAAATAAAACAAACGACTGAATGTGAACACAAGAAAGCACTTGAAGTAAAAAACGAAGAGATCTACCATGTCGTGCAGATCTTTGAAATAAGGTGGGAAAAAGAGTTGCAGAGGAACTTTTTTGTTATCGCGCAAAGTATCATCTTCATGCTGGATTCGTTTTAGTTCCATTTCCACTAGCTTCTGAAATCAATTCAAAAGTCATTGACTACTCAATCTTTCTTCCGTTAGTTTAATTCTTATCTCACTTATACACAATTAAAATCCGACAATTCAAAAAGAGTCTTGTTAAATCTGCGTCAATTCAAAAAGAATCACATCAAATGAGATCATTTAACAAAGAGTAGTACATTCTTAATAGATCTTGAGAGGTTTTTGCTAAATTCATATTCGAAATGACTGGTAAATAAGGGGAAAATAAACGGTTGAAATATGACCATCACTGACCTGTTGCGTTTGATTCGCCCTGATAGCATGTTCAACTCGTGAAATAATTCTAAGAAGCGCGAATTCATAATGACCTTTGGCCTCCAACGTCCTAATCAACAGATTTCGATCGAATGAATTTCCACTCGTAGCCCCCTTAATCACATCGTAAAATAATAACTACGTGAAATGCCATATAGAATGACATATTCAGTTAGTTAAAACCAAACGAAATAAGCAGCTGAACTATGTATCATGACTTGTACGATAAAATAAAACGCAATCAAGCTCAAAGTCTAATGATATTATCTGTCTAAAAATTTATGACTTACGTTTATAAGTCTATATGATAAATTTCTGATGAATATTCATCCACAAAGGAGATGATACTTAAAATGATTCCATAAGATAGTAATCAATATTCACTCGTTCAAATTAAGTTCAAGTATACGTTAAATAAGTTATCGTATAAGTCAAATTATTCAGTATAAGTTGTCTAATTATAAGTGAAAATCATGAGAAAACAATTGGAAACAAACTTGATGAATACCGAACGTTGAAGTTGATGGGATATTATTATCAAATTGCACTGAATGTTCATCTGAAATTGTTGTTCTTCTGACATGATCGCATAATCAAAACTAATATACTGCGACTTTAGTATATTGGTTAGATAAGAATAAAATCCAACAATTTAATGCACTTCACTCAGTTCATTAAGAAAAAGCCTAGATTTCCTAATTCCACGACTTTTAATAAACACTGATAGAAAACCGTAACGCGATAATTTATCAGGTACTGTGTCTATGAAAGGAAACCGGGCTATGCACAAACCTTAAGCTAAGACTAGCCCTGCTTTTGACTGAGACAGACCGTGGCGCTCAGCTTGAGACTTACCCTGGGACTGAGATTCACCCCAGGTTTACATTGAACTGAAGTGTCATGAGCAGATATGAGATGCATCCAGAGTTCACGTTGAGACTAATTGCAACGTCCCCATTGATGAACACATTAAGCTACGAAACTAGCCCATAACGCATGACTATTCCTTTTTTGGGCAGTTTTAACTTCAATTAATCAAATTTCTTCATCATACTGAAACGATACCAAATCAGGAAAATGATTTTTGTAACGTTTTCAATCGGAAGAGAAAACCAACCCGCATTATACACCATAATACCGATGCCTTCATCATCATCCTCTACCAGTGGTGGTAATTCCATATAATTCGAAGTATTTTGACCTTCGGCATCTTCTAGGCTTCGTTCTGATGCCATATCAGGCGTTTCAGTTGCCGCTGAGCCACATTTCGGGTTTGTGAACATTAATGAACTGGAAACAATGAACTTTGAAAATCGATTGTTTGAGCAGTACTTTGATATCAAATACTTCTATCGAAAAGTCCAATTGTTTGTGAACTTCTGACGGAAGCTATTGAGCCTCAAGACCATGAACTTAATGAATGAAAACTGCAGACAATCCACTCGAACAAATATTACCCCCTTCACACGGTCCCTGCACCAGTGATCTTGGATAATTACTTCCCTGTCACCTTGTTCCTCGACAATGCAGCACCCGGTTATTTGGCCCCCTATAGTTTGTTTGGGTTCGATTTGAGCAATGCGAACGCATGTTCACCATTTTTGTGCACATATTGCAAAACGCCCACGATGATATCATAGAAGAAGAAGGAAGGTTCAACCCGAGAGGGTCCCCCGGAGAGAGAGGAGGTTCCCCGGAAGGGAAGAGGGCTCCCTCGAGAGAAGGGAGGATTTACCCCAGAAGAATGAATCCTAGGTAAGATGAAAGAGGGTGACCGGGGAATGGGGATGAGATCAAGATATACGCAGGTAAAACTAATCACCCAGGACCACTGATCAATGCTATAATATCCGTAATGAGAATACCGGTAGTTTGAAAACAATGATCATGATATTGCTACACTTTGATTAATACAAATACGCTACACTGGAAGTGCGGCTCAGCTGCACGAGATAATTTCAAAAAATGTTCATCGTCAACATTACTCATATCAAACAAATCGCCCGATAGCATATACTTTTCTGAAACTAGAGAATCCAGAGAACCCGATGGTCGACAGAAGTAGAGATGCTTCCGTGCAGTATTGTGAGTACCAATATAGCTTATTCCTTGTATGCATTGATCAGTGCCGATACACGGCATTGGAACGTTCGGCTCAGCTACGACAGAGTGTTTAATCAATTTGCTTTTATTTTACTAAACATCATTCTAAGTAACTGAATTTGATCCCAATTTCGTGTTTCACTTCTTCGACAGCCGCGAACAATGAAATACTGAAACAGAACTCTGCAACAACAGCAGAACATGTTGATACAATTAGAAAGTTTCATTATAAATACCTGCTTCTGAGAAAATTTTCAATATTTATCGACGAAAAGATTATCATTACAAATTCTTTTGCGTCACTTCTAGAAACCTAAAATGATGCCTCGTTACACAAAATATTGCTCCTGCGAGCGATTGAAATGGAAAAAAGTTCCAGAACAGACATTCCAAGAAGTACGTTGGATAGGGAATTCAATTCTTTTCCTTCCGAAAGGAAAGATTCAATGCAATTTGAAAATCAGAAATTGTGGAAACAATCATTGAGAAAGTTTCGAATGAAATATTTTTAAATGTTTTCGGAAGAAAGTTTTGATAGTAAGGTTTTACGGAAATTTTCGTTCCGCAATGAACGATTCCATGCAATTTGAAAATCAGAATTTCTGGAAAGAATTATTGAATTATTAATGAACGATTTCAGAAATCTTTTTTGAAAAAAAGATTTCTGAAAGTTTTCGAAAGAAAGCTTTGATAGTGAGATTTTATGGAATGTTAGTTCCCGAAAGAAGGATTCCATGGAATTTGAAGATCAGAAATTCTGGAAAGAATCATTGAGAAAATTTTCGAAAGAAAGATTTTTAAATGTGATGTGATTTAAACGTGACTTAAATGTGATTTTAAATGTTTAAAAATGAGATTTTTAAATCTGATTCAAAAAAATATATTTTTCTGAGCGATTTTGCTTTCTTGAGAAGATACAGCTATTTTGTTTGAGGTATCTCAACTAGCGGAGAGGCGCTCATTCGTATACATTGTATCACTATAGATTAATACATAGATTACTATGGCACTAAATGATTTGCCGTATTCAAGGTATTCAAGGTAACAGTACTCTCCAAATTTCCCAGTAGCACGTTATTTTATGCACATTGTCAGATTCCCCAGATTCTCTGCTTTTAGAAAAGTATATAATTTTGTAAGGCAACTCTGCTCAATTTTTGAGGGATAGCCGATTTTCTGAAGTTGTCTCAGTTGCTCGGCTTGGCTCATTTCAATACACTGTATCTATATTGATCACTCATTAGCATGGCTGTTTGAGGGTCATCATTTTCAAATAGTCGGTCTTCTCAGGTTTATGTGCTCAAATCAAGTACGGAAATTCGATCTTTGATCGAAGGTGAAACTGAACGGGATGTGACGATGGAAGAAATGAACAATATGAAATATTTATTTCAGTGCATTTGTGAGATTGGTAGAATATCACCGAATGTGGTCTACTTTGAAAGGAAAATCACAGAAGAGATTGATATTTTTATGTCAGTTTTGTTTGATGTGTTTGTTTAATTAGACAGTGGTCATGACGGATTGCATATTGTTGAAGCA